TAAGTCCATTTTTACAAAATAATGTTTGTTCATAGGTTGGCAGCAATGCTAAAGAGCTTTTAGGCATCTCTCCCCACCACCCAGGACCATCGTCAAAAGGCACGAACGAACCCACACGGCCGAGTGTCCATTCACCTGAAACGTGTGCCCGAAGGTCTTCAGTCGGGCCGATGCACTTGATGCGCACGTGCAAACACACGCTGCGGAGAAGCCATTCGAGTGCACAGAGTGTAGCCGGCGCTTCCACAGCTCATCGAAACTGAAGCGACACGAGAGGTTGGTGCGCTCAGAAGACGCTCGCCAGCACGCCTGCCCCTACTGCAGACAAGATCTTCTGCCAAAAGGTGTTCCTGCAGATCCACCTGCCGATGCACTATGGGCAAGCAGCTGTACCGGTGCGGCCTGTGCACCCAGTCTTTCACACAGCTCGCCAATGTCAGAAAACACCAGCGCAAGTGGCACCCGGGCGCGGCTGCTGCCTACTGAGGCAAGACCCTCAACAACAATGTGAAGTTGAAAAACGCATTGCAAGTGCTGTGTGGAACAGTGAAGCTGACACGGGAGAGAGGTAAGGACTCAAACAAACACTTGTTCGTGTCCTTACTTCCTTGTGCGTCTGTGTACTTGTTTCATGCTGTGCTGGTGATGGCTTCATACAAACTAGTTCAAGCTTACCAACTTGTGAAAGAGGAGCTTGCTTCGGGTGAGTCGCCCTGAGGTTGCGATAGCAGGCTACAACTGCAGTTATGGCATCATCATTGGCATCAATGGCACGAAAATTGCGGAGGGTGCCATCCAGTCAGCCCACGAGAGAATCAAGGCAGTTCGAACACCCCTGTCAAGAACAGATGGCGTGCGGGGATGTTTACTCACACGAACATGAAAACATCATGAGCAATTCATCTGTCTTAAACTGTTGTCTTCACAGATTTGACACACAGATTGACCCATCAATGAATCTGCAGAATGCATCACGTCTTGTGTTTTCCTTCTTTCTGGGATGCACCAAAGTGGTCCCTATCAGAAAGGCATATTTTCCCTTATTGGAGTGTCAGACAGTTTCTTCTGCAAATAATGCCACTGTAAAGAGACAGTAGAACAGAATTGTGTTTTTGTTATCATTTCAACATTGAAGTGTATATCCTTGGATTCTTAAGTGAACTATGTTTTAAGGGTCTTTGAATGGTGTTCCAAGCATCTTGGACTTGGCGAAGCAGACTCGGTGGGGCGCTGGGTAAGAGTCCCCCCGCTTGAGGGTTCTGTAGTAATTCAGAACAAATGCGTCATGGTTTGCGTTTCTCTTCCCGATGACGTATACACCTTCTTAAAGTGGCGAAGCAAAATCGTGCTTCATTTTGGATGTACCAAGACCATTGCACTCTGCCATCTACGATTCCTTATTCCAAGACCAGTGAGAGACCTACATGATGGCATGAGGTCGTCATAGTGCAGTGTGGGGCGATTCTACTGCTTCACTGTGCACTTTTAATTTGTGCTCGCCTCAGTGCACGTATTAAATCGTTTGCAATCGCCGAGAGTGCTGGTCTGCATTTCTATCCTATGAGGCACGTAATCGACCTGTTTGCACACATGCACTGTATATTTCCACACATTAACGCCTCATTGTGTAACATCCTTTTTTTTATTTTTTCCCATCCTCTGCTTGTTTCACAAGCAGTACTTTCGATGGACATTCAAAGAGTAAACTTTCAGCTCTTGATATACCTAGGTTTGTATGTTGCATAGGTCAGCAAACTGACTCATGAGTCGACTCAGTAAGACTTGGATTGAGCTACAAGTTCAGGTGAGTAATATTATGGAGAGTTTGATACCCCTGTCACAGCAGCCACCGTAATGCATTAGTAAAGACAACGGGCTACGCTTTCCTCCTTCCTATAGAACAGAATGGTGGCAAGGCTGCACAAAAGTTTGAAACCAGCGTTGACAAATATTCTAACCCCTGTAACATTGTTATTATATCTCGTATTCGCAAAATTCTTGTGAATACAGAAAATATTATTACATCAAAACTTTATTACAGGAAATATTACAGGAATAATATTAAAAACTTTCAGTGAAAGAACTTTTTTTCTGGGGTGGGGGTGGGGCGTTATCATTTTCCCCAACTCACCCCTATGGTCAATAGATAGTGAGCTGGCATAGAATGCTGGTCTGTTGAAGTAGACGCAAGTGTAAACCTCAGTCGAATAGTAGTGATGCAGGAAAATGAACAATTGTTTGGCAAAAAAAAAGAAAGAAACACCCAAACCCTGTTGGGGTCTTGCGCATGCGCAGTGGCCTCGGTGCCGATGATCTTTGGGGCCCCGTAACAATTGGGGCCCTTATTTGAAAACTGCCTAATGTCTGTGGCGGTGTCAACTAATAGATTGGGTCAAAAGCAACACTATGCAAATAAACATTTTAGGTATAATTCAGATTGTCCATTTAACTCTTGGTATGCACATGGCTCAATTTTTGAGTAAAATAGTTCATTCACGAGGAATGGACCAGTTGGCGACCTACCTCTGCGATTGGCAGCTGTCCCAGACGAGTTGCTTCATATTACAGAAAAAAAAAAAGAATGGAGAAAATGTCTATGGCATAATTACACTCTGCAACATTATTCAAGTGGCACCGGAATTCCTGCAAGACATAACGAGTCATAGTGCAGGAAACACACAATCAATTACCTCTACGCTCTCAATCACCTGCATATTGTCAATATGACTTGACATGGCGCGATTAGTGGTGTAGGTCACATGGGTTCTCGTACTGCCACACACTCTAGGGGCCACATTACGGTAAATTTAAATGAAAAAAGGAACCACCGACACTTTCAGTCGGTCCTTTTTCACCAAGTCATTGTGGCACCTTCCCAATGACGTTGTTGCCTTTGACGATCAGCTTTTTCTGAGAGGCTGTAGCTAACATAGCGTGGCTAGAAAATTTCAAGATGTTTTTTTTTTATTGTCTTACTTTCAAGTTGCGTAGTTTACACCAGGTAATGTATACACACTAAAACCTCCTCATAACGAAGTTACATCTTACACAAAAATATGTTCTTTATATCTGAAACTATGTTATAAAAGGTACATTATTACCACTATATCTATTGAGACTATTTCTCATTTTCCAATATTTCATTATGTCGAGGTGCTGTATACAGGAATAAACTTTTTTTCATAATTAGCAAGAGCACTTTCCTGCATTGCATATTTGCCCAGCTAATGGCGGCACCTGGGGTGCTTCAATTATTGACGAGGTCTTATTTGCATGTGCTGGGGGCTCGTCTATTATGCGTCGTAATTTCAGCAGAGCAGAGTCTGCGTTATTCGCCTCGTAATGCAAGCACACTACGCCTGAAAAGACCAATTGCAGTGATCAGCCACCGTTAGATGGACAAACTGCATAGCAGAAAAGCCAGCTTTACAATTATGAAAAGTGGTTTATCATCTTCTTCATTCATACTTATTACTTGGTCCTTCGAGTAAGGTATGAGCAAACATAGCATGGCGCAGACATCACAAATGTGTTCTATTAATATCCTCTATTATAGTCCCACTGAATTATATAACTGGTATACTGTTGCATCTTATTTCCAATTTAGCATTTCTGGGGCCTCGAGGGCACCACAAATGAATAAACAATCAAACAACGCCGGACATGCAGAATGAAACTTGAATGCCGAATCGTAAAAATGCAGCTTTTACAACTTTGCGACTCACCTTGTTCCATCCCCTGGGCATTGCATTAAACGCGCCATCGTGTTGTTGCCAGAGCTAGGTCTACGGCCCCTCGAACTCGCAGCGCAAATGGAAACGCATGATGGGTCGTTCTTCGAAAATCCATTGTTGTCACCGTGGTTTTAGAGGGTTTCCATCAGCGCCTAATCGGAGATACCCTCCATAGTGAGAACGGGGCTGTCCTCATTTAAAAAAAAAGAAAAGAAGAAGCAAAGCTGAATGTCGTTGCGGGCCACACCATGCGTGCGCAGTGAAACTAACCACGCGTGCACGACGTCGAAAACGAAGAGCGAACGACATGGACCACGGAAAGCTATTCAGTTAAGTGCCTTAAATATCCAGCATGGCTACACATATGTGGTGGTAACTAAAAGTGTGGCGCTGCCTACGCAAAAGTTGTTTTCTTTAGATGCGAAGCAGCTCTTTGACCAGCCTGGTAACGCTGTCTGGCCGTGCCTCCTTGCCAACGTGCAGCATCCCGCTCCCCTTGCCGCAGTTGCTGGAATGATGCCAAGTAGGTCAAGTCGCAGCTGCATGTTGACGGTCACTCTTTCCCTCGTCCACAGAAGCTGCTGGCTCCTCCGCCAGCTCGCAACACACTTCTCTCTCGCTGCACCCTCTCCACCACCCACAAAGCTTGACCACATGTCGAGTGGAAACACTAGACAGATTTAGTGGCACGTCCACAGCAGCCGCACGACGTGGCCTGCCATTACAAATAGCTAGCAGACTGCGTCCATACGGATGCTGCGGACGCGCGACTACATCTGTCTACTCTTTAGGCTCGTTTATCTGCGATGAAACTTACACGAAACCCAACCCGCCTCCCCTAGTCTCTGCATTTCAAATAAACGTTTACACGCGTCGACACCCTTTTCAATGGGGTCAAAGCTGTGCGCACCACTGCTGCTTCGCATACCATCGGGATTCCCTTCGAGGAGATGGTCCATAGTTTTTGGTTTGTAGGGGGGAGGGGACATTTGCGCATGCACCCGTGGCAAAAAGACTGGTGGAAATGTCTGCTCGTGAGGCGCAGGCTCGCCTGCCCACCTTATACACCTGCACGCGATAACGAGCACTCGCTCTTGCTTGGGACTCAATGGGGCCACGAACGCGTCGCCACCGCTTCACACTTCCTCGGCAGCGGGGCGACCGTGGATGATGCATGCTGGTGCCAAAATTACAAAATCCGGGGCAAAATTCTTACATTTTCCGCAGCGAAAATTTTTTATATCAAGGTTGTCTCTCGCTGTTACCTTGTTACATAGAGGTCACAAATACATGTGTTTCTATGGAGTAACGGCGGGGAATATAAAAACATTATATTGAGGAATTTGTTATAGGAGGTTCGTTATAAGCAGGTTTAACTGTATATCCAAGACGGGTAAACAAGTTCCTCCTCCTCCACGTGTAATTTCTTCTCAGTTTGTGGATCATCTCACACAAGATGAAAAGTCACAAACACTCCACTAAAAAATTTCTGGCTTGGTGATGAAGTCTTATTTCACTTCCCCACCCTTAAGCACAGCTTTAACAGTTTGCATGAAAATTTGTTTATTTGCTGGTGGTTATTTCCAGCGGTTACTGTTGCCGGAGCTTATTTCCATATACACAAGTGTTCCTTCTGTAAGTTCTTCACAAAGTTTGTGTGAAAATACAGGCTACATTCAGGTTGCTGAAGTTGCTGGAGTGCAGGGTAGGCACATGCGATTCAAGCATGGAACCATGGTATATGCTCTTTCCGATCTTTAAAAACCTACTGTTCCCTTCGTATGCACCTTTTCATGGTAAACACAAAGGAAAATTCAGTTGGACTGATTACACATCAGTGCTACCTTCGCAGGTGTTTTGTTAGTCAGGGCGTTGATTCTGCTTCTACATTTCAGAAGCACTGCCATCTGCGTCTGCTTCATAACTTCAAGTTTGGCACGCTGTCTTGCGTTAGCGTAATCACGCCAGCACTGCATTTATAATTTTCGAGGTAACACTTGCAGTCCTTCCTGCTCTGAGTTTACGTTGCTATTCCTTTAGAGCAGAAATATCTGTATAGCAAATGAAGCAGGCATAATGGTTTTTCAACTGTTTGCCAAGCCCTTTATGCCAGCTTAGGCACAAGAGGGAAAGTGTCCGCCCAAATGCTCTTTCCTTTTGAGCATCACTCTCACAGGGCATTAGCCTTTTAAAAGACCTCAGCCTCGAAAGTGCAGGCCCTTGCCGAATCGCCAGTTGGCGGCGCCATGCACACGCAAGCCTGTGAACACCGGAGAGCGAAGTCGAACTTGGCTCCTCGCTTTGTGCACGTGCAGCACCGAGCACTTCTTACCACACACCATTCGGTTGCCGAACGCTATGGATCTTCGAACTCTCTTACTCCGTCTTTACCGTCTGCGTCACGTTCTCGCCTTCCTCGTCACTGTCCTCCATCTTGAATTGAAAGTGGCGAGCACGGAGGTGCAACTTCAAGCTTGTAGTTGTTGGCGAGCCCCTTGCCGCAATGTGGGCAGTAATGCGGGTACTCACCCGCGTGCAACATTTTCTCGTGCTTCCTGACGCTGCCCATCTCGGTGAAGCGCTGGTTGCACTGACTGCACTGGTAGGGGCGCTCACCCGTGTGCGTCCGCATGTGGGACTTGAGGTGCACCTTTTGGTTGAATGTCTTACCGCACTCTGCACAGGCGTGCATCTCGGCATCGTCGGTGTGGAGCTTCCTGTGGCGGTTCAGATTGGACGCGACGTTGAAGCGCTGACCACACTCTTCGCACTCGTACGGCTTTTCCTTGGTGTGCACACGCATGTGCGTCTCAACATCGTCTGCCCGGTAGAATCCCTTCTGGCAGATGTAGCAGGAAAATGGCCGCTCGCCGGTGTGAGTCCGCTCGTGCATCTTGACGTGGGCCCTGGGTGTGGGAAGGTGGGAGAGAGAGAGATCAGCAAACATGCGAACTTTGCAGCATTAAAACTGGTAAACATACACACGGCCTAGACAAAACATTTGTGAAAGAATGCTTTGTCACTTTAGAATGTTGCTCAGCCAGGCTCATTAGATAACGAGCACCAAAATAAAGCAGAGATTACATAAACGCAAGTTCACCAATGAAATAATATGGAAAATTAGACCAGTTTATAGAAATTACATTATGCAATGCATTCGGTGCACTCTAAACAAACAAGAGGTGTATTGCCTTTGTTGCACCATTCACAGTAGTATGATTTTCATCTGCCTTTCTCCTCTATTGTTGCATTATAAACGGCCTTCACAGCTTCACACCGACACGCTGAGAATGATTCAGCAAAGTCTGCCCTGCTTTTTTCATCGTTTTCCAAAGTGCACCTGATGCAGCGACAACATGGCAGTCATGTTCTGATCTTTTCAAAGGTAGAGGGAAAAAATTAAGGGAAAAAAAATTAAGAGAAAAAGCGAAAACTTAAGCGAAAAAATTGGCGGCATATCTGCATGCTTTGCTGCAAATGTCGTCGAAAGATGAGTCTTCTGCCAGCCATCTTTTTGGTGCACAGCATCGCAATTTCAGTGCAGCATAAAAAAACACTAAAGTCTTTAGAATTACGTATCTATGTATTTTATATTAAAGGAACACACCACCTAATACTTACGTATTGATTTTGCACCTAAGATATATGTAACATTTGCTTTTTGATCGACAATGTTCAGAAGTATGAACTCATCCACCAGTTCAAGATGGCTGGGCATTCAGTAAGTGCCTAAACTTGGCCAGGTGGCTAATCCATGCGGTAAATAGACAGACGAAAATATTCTGCATCGAGTATCCTAAAAAAAAACTACCGTCCTTGAAGTCAATGGGCAAAGCATTGCAATACGTTGAGTGCTAGAGTTGGGCAGCGGCAGCAACTCGCGCAGGCTGCATTTACTGAGGTGCCCCTGCGACTCTCGAGAAGCAGGCACAACTTTTCACTGCAACCACTGGAACTGAGGTGATATTTACTAAGCGTTATGCGGCACTAATCTCCGAGCCTTCATGGGCAAAAGTGGGACTCCACAGACCTATTTTGACAGCAGGCTTTGTCTGATTGCCTGAAGAGCCAAGGTCCCGTAGCAGGCACGCATATTTTTTCACCAGTGTATGCTAGCCGTAATACACGGCAAGAAGAGGAACCAAAATATGTGCCCTAATGTGCTCAGCATCCAAGTGCTTCCATGACACTAGCTAGCTTCTCGACGGGGTTCGACACTACGTGCCTTGAACACCTGTGCCCTGCATGAGCTGCTGCTGCCACGCCACTTCAGTGCTTGCCACATTGCGACGCTATGTGCTCTCAGATTTCCCCAGGAGTGAATAAAATGAACCTCTATGTCTATTCGCTCATTTCAAGTAGCATAACACTTCTTGGAATATTCGAAGTGCTTGAGTATTTGCCCATCGCTACAGACCTACGCTTGTTGCGAAGGCAGCAAATTAAATCTCCGTGAGACCAGAGACTTACTTTCTGTCGCTGGTGTAATTGCAAAAGGAGCACTTGTGTTTGCCCAGCGGCTTCTTCCGGTGCGTTGTCTGCCAGTGCCGGTGCAGGTGCTTGGCCGCCGAGAACGCGTCGCCGCACGCCTCGCAGCAGAACACGACGCACTGGGTAGTTATGGCGTTCTTGCCTGCAACAGGCAACATCAACTGTACTTTTATGGCTGCCACTTTATTGGAAGGGTAATGAAGTGACATCCTACACTTGTAGAACAATAAGGACAGCTCCAGCGCTTTTGCAATGGCAATGCATCTCGATGAAATCTGCAAGGCACTTCCGATTTATGCCATACAATAGCCTTGAGAGATGCACAAAATAAATCTCTCCAGGTATCAAAACTGAAACCTTGAGGTGTTTGTGCTGTTTGATTGCCCTGTATGAATCGATACTTCGAACCAAATCTCAGCAGCGCACACTGCCTTTAAGATATTTCAATATGACTTTAAAGAAAGCGCGAGTACACATTTGAATTGGCAGCACCTCGCAACACTGCCCCTGGTATGACATACATCGAGGCCCCGTATGTTCCACGAATAAAGCGAGTGTTTGGTTGATTTGTTTACCTAACCAGTATTTTGTGAATGAGTTTATGGTGGCGCTGGCATTCCTTTCACGAGTTCAACAAGCGGCTTCTGCACCACAGTATTCGTTAAAAAAAAAAGCGCAGTGATTGTGCAAGGCAAATTCAGGAATTTCCTGCACCTACGCCTGAGCTAGCGCCGAGCTTGCTCAGCACCAGATGGCTGGAACCGCAGCGGACGACAGATTGGAGTCGGTTTTCATCGCGTCCAAGAAGTAAGTCGATGATCTTAATTTGTGCTCTCTTAATAAGCTATTGATGGTGAAACTTGTGAGATTGGGGCCCTCGTGGTACAATTTAATGATCTAAACTGATTTGTTGTTCCACTGAAGTGTCCCTTCATATTGAGACCAGCTTCGGTGCTTGTATAAAATGTCAAAAATGTGCGTTGTGATGAAGCCCTTGCTGAACAACCCGCACTCACGTTTCCTGCGTCCCTTCTTTTGCGGCTGTGGGAATGTCTTCACAAGCGCAGTGCAGGGTTCTTGTTCAACCTCCTCTACCTTTTTCCGGCCTCGGCTCCTATAGATTCTGGTCGTCTGCACAACATCGAAAAATGATCCATCAAAAAGAGGTGACAACCAAGGTTTGTCAGGTCTGAAATGTGAGAAGGAGCCAAAATATCAAGTAAACCAAAATATCAAGTATCAAGAAAAGTAGCCATGTTTAGCTTGAGAGCAGCCAGCAAAGTGGCCCCATAATGAAAAAACACTGGATCTGCATCTATCATGGCATCAAAAGCAATAGTCAGAGCTAAAGCTCTGACTATTAACTATTGTAGTAAGTTCGGGACCACAAAATAAAGAGAATTCATGGAATGCATAGAAATTACCAAAGCTACCAATACCTCGATTTACAGATTCTGCAGAAATTCTCTGGCCTACACTGCTTTTATTGCACAAGCAAAATGATTGCTGACACAATTAAACTACAGTGCACTCTTTCTGCATTGTTTTTTGCAGGGGCATGTACAGCAGGTCATCTGATTTGGTCAACATTAGCTTTTCTGCAGAGAGTTAAAACAGAATTTGCAAGAATAGAATGGTTTGCATAGAATAGGATAAACAGGAGATCATTGACGAAGAACCGACATTTGGTCGAGGTGGATGCTGTTAAATATGTTGAATGGATTCAGCGAGATACAACGGGGACAAAGGTAAAAACACGAACACCAACACTTTTCTCGCAAATAACTTTATTAGCACAGAAACACGTCTTTTAAAGCACAACTTATAACGATGCAAACACACGCCGATGACGTCAACAAGGGATGAAAAAATAAATAAAAATAAGATTAAGGTTGGACATAGCATAACTGTATCAGGAGACAAAAATATTCAGGAAATAAATTTTTGTGTCATGCAAGGCAATTGAGAGGATGTTTAGACAACTAGAGCCTTTTCTGTGGATGTAACAAACTTCCATAATTTCTCTGGTGGCCTGATCCACATGTGCAAAAATACGGGGTCAGCAAATATCGGTGTACACTCAAATCTCATCGTAACAAAATTGCATCTTACAAGAAAATAAGCTTGTTATATCCAAAAATTCGTTATAAAGATATATTTTTAACACTCCATATATTGCAAGACTATTTTTCATTTCTTTTGCTAAAACCAATATTTCGTTATACCCGGGTTTGTCATATCAAGGTTTGAGTGTATATCTATGTTCATTATAATGTCTTGTCAGATGTAAGGATTAGAGATCATCGGGAGAGGCCTTCATCTTACAGTGGCCATGAACTGGCTGAGAGTTGTAATAATGATGATAAACTTTTTTGACATAGCAGGAGTCTAGTGTGTAGCCGCAGCCCACCAAATTTTTTCTCTACTGTCCCGTGTGTAGAACACGGGACACGCTTAATCACTGTGAGGTAGGAGAGATTTAACCCCTTACCTGTATTGGACAAACACGGCCCGTCCTTCCAAACTGTGCCCAAACTATTTAGAATGAGTGAGACTCGCCTGCTTGAGATAATATCTCCACACATGCTTTTTAAACGAGACTTGCCAATTTCCAAGCTAGTTAGCATGTGGCTTCACAGATGGCAGCACTTGCTTGGCAAGCTTCATTATTTTAATCACCATTGCACATTTTCTCGCGACTTGTTTTTAGAAAATGTTGGGCAGCAAAGGCAATGCGTGCGCAGCGTGTGCATTGTCACGAAAAAGATGCTATTTGTCATCGTACCGCTCTTCAAGCACTAATAGAGACACTTATGCTTACCTTGATGATTAGAACTGTTACTTTTGCCAGTTTCTAGACGTTGACATTCATTCACGATTCCTGAAAGACACTATAGGCCACGTGACGAAAACTTTGCCATGTTACTTTTTATACATGCTTGAATTTTTTTTCAGTAATGAAAATATGCCTCTTAGAAGCAAAGTGCACAATATCAAGTAGAAAACAAATAAACTGTTCAGGCACAAAAACTAAAAAAAAAAACATTTAAGAGGTTAAACGAACCTTTTGCCCTAGTTAACGGAAACACAGGGAAATTTGACATCATCAGCATGATGTGTATGCACAGGGTAAACTTGGACAGCCTTTTTTTATACTGTAGCTAAATCTAAGAACACGGGCTTTCACTTGAATGCAAATGTCTGCGTGACACGAAATGTTTGAGAAAGCTATATTCTGGTTTTGTATGGGACGATACCGTTCAAATAAATGCTCCAGCCTATAGGTAAATATGGCAACCTAACCGCCAGGTTAGAAGCGTTATGCACTGATAGAGCAGCAATTCACATTTGCCATGGAAACAACATGCTCAAACTCATGCTCTCGGGCTTGGCAGTGTAACACCACAGTAACGCAGTAACGGTGCTAAGGTAAAAAAACGGTGCTACGATACGAGTAATGAACAAAATAAAATGCAAATAGATAGCCACCACACCTGGCACGCCTTGGAGGTCATCATCTGTGGCTTCGATGGCTTTACTATAGGCTCTTCTTCTGAAAAGGAACACAGTTTCACTCTAACTACAAATGCACTATAAAGCAGAGCTTTTATATAAATCATTGCTGCACAAACATGCAGTCACATACATGGCGTTAACACATCTTGCCACCTGCCAGCAGCTGTGAAAAGCAGCTACAATGGGATTCCACATCCTCAAGGAAAGTGGGAAACGGGCACCTCTACTGGAACGGCTACTTTTTCTAGCTGCCAGAAAACTGCCCCGGCAGTTTATGCCATCACGCCAGTGTCATCAGAGTTCTTCGATCATACGAGTTGCGAAGCTACGCTTAGTTCTCTAGTGTCAAAATCCGCACAACACCATTGGCTAAAACCGCAGAGATCGACTGATTTAACTGCGATTTGTTGGTGAAAAAAAAAAAAAAACAGCTAATAGAAACATGGCATTTCCATGTGTTTCGACGCTGAAGCCTGCCAGAGATGCCGCTCTGATGAGGCCAGCAGCGTTCGTTGCAAATGAGGCTTACCCATATTTTGCAGACCGTACCATGTCTGTAGAACTCGTCGACTTTTCTTGACAGCATTTTTCAATTCTAGCTGCAGCAACATGCACAATAACAATAAACAGTCCAGTAACTGTGATGACTCGGTTCTGTTTGTGTCGCTGCCTCCAAAGTGTGCCACAATTTCCAGTCCTCCACAATTTTGCCCACGGACATGTCTGCATTTGAGCTTCACAACTGGTAAGACTGAAGAACTCCAGTGAAATCATGGGGGCAGCCAGCTCTCCCAAAGGTGAAAAAAGCTTTTTTCGTTACACTCAAGCCTCATTAACACGAAGTCACACCTGCCACAAAAATACTTCGTTATATATGAAAATTTGTTATATATTTGTAGCACTGTATCTATGACAGAGCTATTCTTAATTTACTTCGCTATAACCGATAGTTTGTGATATCTGGTATTGTTAATTGAGGTTTAAGTATATTATTTTTTTAATACCGCACATAGTGCTACATTGAATAATCAGGATCAAAGTATGCCATTATTTCACAAAAATTTAGTAACAATGCATCAACTGTAACACAAAAATGAGTTCAATATATCCGAAAAATATTACTAATGTTATAGTCGTTATTGTATAACTATTGTTCATTTACTTCATTATATCCAATATTTCGTTATATTTGAGTTCTTTATATCAACGTTTGAGTCTCCTTCATAAAAAGGCACAAGCTCAGAGTAAAATGGAGGCTTCAAGAGGTGAAAAATTCGTGAACACACGGTTCTGCGAAAGGGGCCTGCGACACGATTTGGGTGTGTCTTTTTTATTGGTTCTTCTGGTGTTGTGCAATGCACCGATATTGTTGTGTAAGTGGCAACGGGGAAATCAAAGCTGTCATAATTTTAATTCAAGGGACAAACTACCCCGATTTCGGACTACGGCGACACACATTGGCTATTTTTGTTATGGGAAGTGACGCTATGTCATGTGGTGTGATGACAAAGACCATTCGCTTTTGATTAGCCAGACACAACAAGTAGCGTGCATTAATCGTATGTTCGTAGCTAGGCTATATGAGTAAATGCTAAAAACAGCAAAAACTCTCTTTATACTCAGAAAAAAAACATTCCTGTTTCCGAATGATGTATTTTCAGGACAACGAACACCCGACTAAGTCTGCAAACGAGGCTGCGCCTCGTTGGTACGCCAGCAACTAAAGATGGAAACGCATGCCACGTTTTTAGCGAGCCAAAAAATGCAACGTGTGGCAGACACCGACGTTGTTGTCGAACGCCTCTTGCATGCAAGCCGAGAAGTGACCCGCCCGAATCGTATGTATGTATCTTACACAGTGTGGCCGTGGGAGCGTCTGCTACGCAACGCACGTGGTTCGTAGTAACCATGCTAGCAGAGCCGTCAAGAAGAGCGGTAGCATGGTATTAAGTGATTGCTTTGTGGGGTTTAACAGTCCCAAAACCACTATTTGATTATGAGAGACGCCGTAGTGGACGGCTCCGGAAATTTCGACCACCTGGGGTTCTTTAACGTGCACCCAAATCTGAGTACACGGGCCTACAACATTTCCGCCTCCATCGGAAATGCAGCCGCCACAGCTGGGATTTGATCCCGCGACCTGCTGGTCAGCAGCCGAGTACCTTAGCCACTAGACCACCGTGGCGGGGCGTGGTATTAAGTGAAGGCCACCATGAAGTGACATTTCGGGTATGTCTTTACGAGATGCGTGCTGTGATTGGAAACGGTCCTTGACGTCAGCAGGCGAGCGAAATGCGAAAAAAAAAAAAAAAAACATTTCCCGTTGTCATCTTATCGAGTTTTGAACTTTGAGGACTCATAACTTTACTCTTCGTGCACCCATCTCCATCAATCTTGTTGCATTCCTCTCAGCAATCATTGCTACATGCATTGCAGTGCTAAATAAAGCTGTCACAAAAGTGTCAAAGATCCCCTTTAAATAAAACAAGTGCTTCAGACAAGATTGGTTTTGTACTTCCATTCTGCACACTATAAATTAAATTCCTGCTAAACAAAACATATTTTCCTGGTCCCTTCAGGTTCTGTTTAATGAGTCTATTGTATTATTTGCATACTGACACCCCAAAACTGACAATGTAGCACACACAGAGCCTTCAGGAGATCTTCAACAACCCCAATGCTAAAGGCTATGACCAAAAAGAAAGCTTACTAGAAGTTTGTGGTGGCTGCCGCAGGACCTTCATGTGTACGATGGTGAGTTTCTGCGGCGATGTTTTCGAAAGAGGCCCACCACTCTGCTGGTTGAAGGTGCGAATCGGCATGCAAATAGGCTTCCCTACATCTTTGGCTTTCACCAACATGGTGACTCTAGATTGGCTAGCGACGGGCACCGGCGATGTTTTAAGCCCCTGCGGTGTGGTGCTCCCGGAAGGCTGCAGAATGCACCTACGCACAATCACGGGACCCGCTGTACCCGCCGGCAAGCGGGATCCGGCCACGATCACTTGACCCTTGGGCGCCGCTTCGGAGGAGGCGACGGAAGGAATAATTTTCACCTTCTTCCCTTCGGGAATCTCGGTGCCGGCGGGAGCGGGCCTCTTTTCCGAACCCAGGATGACGGATGCATTCGTAAGCTCCCTGGCCGACAGTACTTGCACACCGCTAGGCAAAGTCGACAGCGTAGCAGTGGTCGTCTTTGTGGGGGGAGCTCGCATGTTTCACGCTCACTTGTTCCACCAACTATCACAGATGGCTGCCTATCCGCGGCGTCGCTGTCCAAGTCTTCAGTGGTCGAGACTGTCTCGCAGGCTACGTCGAGGTTAGCTCCATCGATTATGAGCTGCAGCGGGTTGGGCTCCTCTATGTGCCCCACTGTTTCGTTCGCGGCGCACACCGACGGACCGCAAGCTGCCCTGTTGGCAACTGCTTCCACGGCCACGTGCTCAGTCATCGTCGAAACACTGTTCTCAGTTTCAACTTTCGGGAAATTATAATTGTCGTCCTGGTTTTCTTGCTTCAATAGCTCGCACACTTCATCCAGTTTTGCGGCTGCTTTGTCCTGAACAGTGCCATCTAGCTGCGCCTTGGCCCTGATTGAAAGAGAATGAAGCACCTGTGAGTGACCTTTTGTAGTTAGAGAGGCAAGACTGCATACACTGGTGCAATATTGTATACGATTTGTGACAGAACATTCTATCGTACTGGAAAGATTGGTCAAGGCTTGTCTTAGAGTCAGACATTAAAATAGCAACCCGAGAAGGCAGTGCTGTAAATCCCTTTGTTGTCTGCCAGGGCAAAGAATGGGCACCGAACAGACGAACAAACTGTTCCGTCCAATATAACAGATACAGCACGGTCTGCAGACGATTTAGGATTGGGTTGGTACATAAGCACTTGAATCGAAGAATCGAATTAGCCTGCTTTTAGTCGGGCGTAATGTATTCCCACGACTGATAACAGTTTGCAACAATGGCAACTAGCAAAACCGATTTGGGCGAGTGTACATGCTTGGCTGGGGAAGCCCAGCGCAAAAGAGGACGACAATGCACAAACGCAGCACACAGTTTGTACTGCGTTCGTGCGTCCTCATTATTTCTCTGCGCTGCATTTCCCCAGCTAGTCAACTGGCACACCCATTGAATGTCTCGTAAAATAGCAACACCACCTAAAGCAATGCCCCTCAGTACTCGTATTATGGTGAAGTAGTTCTATGCTGAAGCATTTCAGAATTCTCTCAGCAGACAATAAAAAATTGAAGCATTCTTCCAGATTGCTTGCTCTTCACCTATTGGCTGTTTGCTCCCTTTCGTTCTTTAGTAGTGTTCCATCCTATCACAGAATGTTTTCGAAATTGCATCCCAGAGAAAAAGCTCTGATTATACTAGCAACTAATATCAATGCCGCAAAGAGTCGCAAAAGAACCCACCTGGCCTTGGCAAGCTGGGCACGTATCTCCTGCAGCTGCTTGCACAACTGCACCACATCGCAGCCCGATGGGACTTGAATAGTGGCCACTTGCCGTGGCTGCTGCTGAGACTGTTGCTTCTTCTCCACTGGGAAGTATACAAGCATCCATTTTAATAAGAACAGATACACAATGATGCCAAGGAAAGTATAGGGGATGTTATTAGCAGTAATTGCAACGTAAATGTGACGAAGAGGTAACTAGTCACCGACAGGGATGCAACCAGTGATCCTCAAAAAACGTGCCCGATGCTCTACCAACTGAGCTGCAACAACCTAATGTCACGAGTTTTACCATCACAAGTTCATTGTTAGAGAAGAAAATCCAGGTTGAAGCTTCAATTGAAATTTCTCGCCGAAACCTACGCACGTGACGTCACTGATTTCGAAATGTATTTCGTATTTCTGAGACGTTAGAGCAATGAAATTTTCCGACACTTCTAATGTTACATCTATGGTCTCTACAGATGACGATGTACTTCATTCTTTACCAAGTAGGAACTACGCAGGACTTACTAGATGCCGTCCTAATCTATGACATCACAAATCTCCGGCTGCATCTCTCCATCCCGCATATTCTTCTCGCGCGTTTTCCTGCTAACCATCATCTCGCGGTGGGAATGGAGTTTTTGGAATAGTGGAACTGTACTTTACTAAATCATTTCTTTTTAGTGTCCCACAACTAGTTCACCTACCACAAGGGTTATGTAACGATCAGGTATGTTAGTCTTTGGGATGGCGATGTGCTGCATGCGTGAATGTAGGTGAATCAATGACACAGAGCAAGCTATCAGTGCACAATAATCAGTGCAACTACTCTTGTGAAAACGCTGTTCACTTTCGTGCAACACCTATTCCTTAATGAAAGGATCAACCGACGTCATTTTTTTTTCTTTTTCTATGCACGAGTCGTACTAAATGATCAAACTTCAGGTTTGCAACTTTTCGCCAAAGCCCTAATCAGTATATCTGTGATGTCGCAGATGTTAAGTCACATTTTCTTACACAACAGTGCCCCACCAAAGCTCCCCAGAATTTGCTGCATTAGTTCTCTGCTTCAGAACGAAATGCTGTCACTCTTTCATCGATTAAGAATTACCCAGGCCCTGAAGGATGCCAACAAAATCCATGATGTTGCGAAAGTGTGTGCACGAATTTCAACACAATGGTACATAAACTGTCTTTCCATTCTTGTGCCTTTTTTCTGGTTTGCGAAGCACCATGGCTTGGCAACAGTGCTGCTTATGTATTGTGTATGAAGGAGCTACAATTACAAGTCCATTTCTTTTTAATGCTCCTTTAAAGCTGAACTACAACGAAAAACTGCAATACACATTTTTTTAGGTCCTATATTGTATCAAACAATACAGGAGAGAGCCGAAATCTCAAGTCACTATTTTTATTCATAAAAGAAGTGATTTAACATTTTCTCAGCAAAATTTTCTTGCAAACTGATGGAACTGTTTGTGGATCAGGAGTTAGGTTATAATGCCACTTTAGCTGTGTGTTTTTTCTTGCAAGCAACAAGGCACCCCTACAAAAGACGTGGAATGTTTGGTATGAGGCTAGCTAATGGTGGCAAACCAACTTATTCTACGGCATCTGTCACAAGAGAAAATTCTATGTCATTCATATTTAATGACATTCAACAGATACAATGAGATTATGTGCCGTGTGCGGCTACATGGCAGGATATAATGCTATTTGCAGATGATAGTAATTCGTATGCAGCTTAGACTAGAGTGAAATAAAAATTGAAGGGCACTTCGTACATTGCGAAGTGTGATCACCGAAAACCTGTGCCCATCTGACTAACTCCACTGCTGCAACAAGATGTCTTGACAAAGGAATGTTGCCGTGCGCACCAGGCTGCCATGGCATGATTACAGAGAGGATGCGAGTGGCACAAGCAGATGAACCGTCGGATGCCACTACCACGCCATCACGTGATTCCTGAGACAGTGTGAGGGGGGAGAGGCCACAGCTGGGATTGTTCCAGGCATATAGGTCGTCAAACAAAAGTGCAACTCACTCAGACTTTCTCAAAAATATATCTTGCACTTTGGATGCATTCGGACTCACCCAGACTCACACTTGAGAAAGTTCCCAACAGTCGAACTCACTCGCACTCAAAACTCGCCAAAATATGACACACCCAGACTCGTGGCATGATCCGAGTCTGAGTGAGTCAACTCATGAGTGAATTCTGCAATCTATTGTTCAATGGCATGGATGAATGGACGGTCAGACGCCATGCGTACAAGCCATTGAAAGCTTCTGCCTTCGAAAAAAGCCACAGTGTGTGTAAAAACGTTGTGTACAATGAGGCTTAAGAAAAACTGTTTATAACAGATGTCTGTCCGACTGTGTTCACACCATTGATGGTACTGTCACGGTACCCCAAAACGGACAACCAAGATGTTTAGTACAAGAGCAAACAACCCCTTCAATGCAAAAACACAAACACATCGGCAAAAGCAGAAACACAGCTTCTTCAGTCAATTTCTCGTTCCACGAGACTGTTAGAATGCCGCACACCATCTCTATTGCCTGCACAGAGCGGACACAGCATATGCGCTGCATTTTGACAGTGTTGCTGGAAATATGAATAATCAATCTGTTCAGAATAACGAAGTTTAATAGTTTGGAGGCAGAAAATAAAATGGTGCACTATAACATGAATGCACATTAATTGCTACACTAAATTATTTAGTTTCTTATGCATATCTGTATGGGCTCCTCTTTGGTGAAAGTAGAGTGGAATCTCGTCAATACGATTGTTACGGGCATTAAAAATAAAAGTGTATAGTGGGCAACATTTTTCAGTTTTGGTTCCTCGGCCCATACACAGTCTTGGAGCAGACCTCTCCTGTTATTTATCCCGTCAGACCTGTTATTGATCCAACTGACTGGCGCCGTCGCAACACAAAGACAGTGCATGTCTTGTGCATGAAGCCTTTCACAAGGCGTTCTCCGCACCTTCAGGTTACGGCCAGAATGGCCGCTCTCACAAGGGGGAAATTGGTGGCGGGCATTTACAAGCGACTGCATCACCTGTACAAAATCATCATCACATGGGGCTCTTCATCCTTTATCGCTTGTGGGGACACATTTTGAGTTTGTTTTGTGGCTCGGATGTGACTGGTTTCTGCCACGTCTTTCGGGCCTATCAAAAGAGTGTAAAGTGCTACGTCTCAGGTATTATCCAACAATCACACTATCCAAAACCGAGCTTATCAGCGCTCAGCAAGAACAAATCACGACAAGAGTGTCAGGCCTTTTATTCCCCGTCGCAATACATTTAAGTATTCTTACTTTCCATCGGTCATTGAACTATGGAATAACTTCCTACGGGGTCTGCTCACTCATACAAGCCGATCTTGAGATATACTAGCAAGTAGCGACCTTGTACATAACGGTACAACTGTTTCGCAGAATGTAATTCTTTGATTCTATGCCATAAGCAGTTTTCATTTGTAGAGTTGTCTAATGTGTGCTCCTCCCTGTTAGTTTTTGCTGTCTTTTTTTTTTTGTAATATGTAGTCCTATCTAGTCGTCTGTGTCGTTAACCTTTCTTGTTTTGATTTTTTACTACCTTTTGTTACTGTTATCAATTTTGTTCTTCGGTAGATGTGTACAATCTGTATGTTTTGGAGCCACTCCTATAAGAGCTTGTTCAGGCTTACAGTATGAATGAATCAATAAATAGGATTACATACATAGTATTTTAATGATTTAGAAAACTCACTGTTCGCACAAGCTTCACTAAATGACATCAAATGCCAACATGTAGCAGCAAGCTAACAATGATAAACGTAAATGTTATAAGCTACAAACGACAAAGTCACTCGTGTAACAGGGACATTACAGAAGCATTCCGGGGTAATGTCACATGCATAGCTGGATTTCAAGCTTTATTAATGCAGGTAAAGCGAGACCAAGTAAAGGCTAAACATATTAAGCATAGTTTCATACATATCTTAAATCTTGGTGGAACACTCTTTGCTCCCACAAATAGCTCACATAATTTTCTATGAGCCAAAGATAATACCCAAAACTTTGTCCTCATACACTAAAGTAAAACGTAAGAGCAATACACTCAGCCCTCAAAGCAAAACATAGCTTTTGTTTCGAGTGATCAAGCCACCAAAGATGGCATATCTTGTGATTCAGGCAAACTGCAATGCAACTAATAGGTGCAACGGTACCAGTTTCATAATATCGTTGTGGTTTTACATCTCAAAACCCCAATATGATTATAAGAGACACCAAGGAAATTTGGCCATCCGTTAATATTTTCTTTAATGTGCACATAAACGCTAGATAGACATGTTGGTTGTAATGTCCCAAAACCACCATATTGATTGATTAATGTTTGGAGTTTAACGTCCCAAAAGCACTATATGATTATGAGAGACGCCGTAGCAGAGGGCTCCAGAAATTTCGACCACCTGGGGTTCTTTAACGTGCACCCAAATCTGAGCACACGGGCCTACAGCATTTCCGCCTCCATCGGAAATGCAGCCGCCGCAGCCGGGATTCGATCCCGCGACCTGCGGGTCGGCAGCCGAGTACCTTAGCCACCGCGGCGGGGCGTGCACATAAACGCTATCATTTCATGTAAATAAAGTTAAAATGAGAATGAGTGTCCCGCAACTTGTTTCCTGGGAGAAAATATGAAACATTTAGTTGCGCAGACTTCATGTCGACTGCTCGCGCTTGATTTTCGCGAACATGCGCACACGAATCTTTTGCAGAACAGGCCACCAGCGTCTTGTTGAAGCTCATGTCCCCCCCAAAAAAAAGCAGTCACGATGCGGCTTTCGTGTTTCGCATTTTTTTGTCCTTGTTTCGCTTGTCTCACTGTCGCTACGATGCTGCTGTCAGCACTGTGAGGCCGCCGGCTCCTACATCGGAGATTCGTAAGCGTCGTTGCCTGCATTCCTATATCCTTGTTTGCCGGTAGCGTTCCCCAGTTTCTACGGAGAACACTCATTTTTTCGTGTTGCTAACGGGAACCGATTTACGGTGAATCGCTCGCTCATGTTACTACCTGTTGATGGAAGAATTGTTCGAACGAACGGAAAGCGGCGACTACAGAACACGAGCACGCACGGTTCAAGTTACGGAGCGCTGGCGCGCTTCATCAGATGGCGCATTGCTGAGTGGCAGTTGCAACACGCCAATGCGCCAAAGCTTGAACACCGATCAGCAACAATCAAAGCCCGATCGCAACCTTCAGGGCAGGCAGACGGCGAAACAGAAACAAACTCACTGCTAACTGGCGGTGGCTTCTAAGAGGTAAACTGGCGAATTTAGTGGTCCCACTAGCCTCGCTTCACAGAGGCCTCGCTTCCTGGGGACGGGGCCAGGTGTCGTCACAAGGATCATAGCACGCGACTACTTTCAGGCCTTGGTAACAGCGTCCTCCTTACTGCAGTTTTAGACCATTCGAGAACAACCGGTGACACCAACTAAAGGGAACGTCTTACACGTATAAACGTAACCATAGGTAGGGTTAACGGAGGCCAGCTATAAAAGTAGGGCTGCAACACACGCACACGATAACCGTCAGCATCTACAAGGCTAACGCCAAAGTGACTTCACCTGGCTTGGCAGTTTGGCTTCGGCCGACTCGCGTTCGAACAAAAACATGAACGTAGGCATAGCCTCCAAGATTTCCTTTGCCGGCCGAATGAATCCGAAACGCCGGTCATTTATGGCGGCGCTGCCTACGTAGGAATAAAAGTCTTTGTACTCGGCCTTTGAGATTGGCAATTTTAACGTTTGTTACTAAATTCAGAGGCTATGCCTTGTATTGAAGAAGTTGCTTGTTGAATGACGGTATTACTTACGTAGGGTTAATTATAATTACGTTTGCGCTTTTTAAATGTTTTTTACGTTATTTTTGTTGCATACAAGTTCCAAAAACGTAAAAATTTATTTGAAAACATCCCTACTTAGGTGACGCCACCACCATAGTTCCGACGACAGCCACTTTCCAAGTGACCGCCGATAATCCGGCAGGCAAGAGAAATCTAGGAGGCTATGACGTAGGCGACGCTATAGTGAACTAGAAGTACTTTAGTGGTGCGACCGGCCAGGCTCTGGCGCCAGCCTTTCACACGGATGGCGCGAGGTGGCGCCACTGCTCCATTTCCTAGGAGCTTCGGCTGCGTTGACCGGCCGTCGCTGGCTCCTTCTGAGTTGCAGCTATGGTCAATTCTAACGCGCGTGTTTGCTTCCTGGCTCATGCAAACGTAAAATTGCTAGGTTAGTTATTGCGTGGCTCAGCGGTTTGTATATACATAGTTTGGCCAAGAATATATATATATATATAGATATATATATATATATATATATATATATATATATATATATATATATATATATATATATATATATATATATATATATATATATATATATTCATATTTACCACACGCGCTAATAACATTCGCTACAAAGCGATTGCTCATCACCATCACAAGCTTACGGCGCGCTTCCACTATAGTTTTGGTGCTGGCTTATTACATAGAAGGTCATGGTAAGGACACAGTGCTCAGCATCGAAAATGAAAACAGGAACATCTTTTTATTTATTGTGATGGTTGGAAGAGTACAAAAAATACAAAATAACAAAATAAATTTCACTAGTTTAACAGCTTTTTAAAACTATTACGAGCGTACGCTGATCACGGATCGTCCAGCAGTGTTTGCTTCAGCTCGATGATGTGCGGTCAGCCGAGAGGAAAGCGGCTTGAATTCTTGTTTACACATTGCTCCCTTGCAGACAGGGCTTTCTCGAGCTTCTTCCAATACGGATGTGGCGTCAGCAAGGGATTGCACGGGTTTCTCTTGACACAAAACACCTTGATAGAAGACTTGGGCTACAATTTTTCCTTCTGTGGACATAAAGCACACAGCTTTTTCATGAAAAATATCCAGTTTTGTACGCTTGCTTATCACTGTCGTCACAAATATTAGATCGCAGTGGCCAACTGCTTCTATACGACACCAGTAGTTTGCAGGAACTTCAAGTGTGCGAATAGCTTCAATTGAAAGTCGCGCACTAGTGGCAGCATTAAAGTCCATGCCTTCCATTTCACCGCCGTCGCACACTTCGTCACGTGCATCAGGCCTGCGCCGTTTTCTGCTTGCGCCTTCAGGAGGTTTGGCTGCTTTCCTTCTCTCGGGTCTTTGCTTGGGCGCAGCGACGGAAAGGTACGCTGGACAACCTGGCAAAAGCGTTGGCACGGCATCAGGCACCAATGACGGTTTTCCTCGGGGAGTGCGCACTTCACAGCCATTTATCACGTGCACATATTCGCGCAGAATATATCTTGGCTCGAAGTGATGTTCGCACACCGCTGATGTTTCGGTCAGAGGCTTGTCATCCCTCCGGAGGTTACGCTCCCACTTTCTGCGGAGATCGTCTTCTCTAGGAGCTGCAAACAACGATGCCTTCGGGGCGCCCGGGTAGCCGCTTCGGCAACCCGGAGCAAAACAGTGTGAATCCGTCCTCCGCTTCGACATGTCACGAGCTACATGTTTGTTGGTACGGAATACCTGAACAGGTAAAGACAGCTGCTCCACAACGGTCCGTGCGAGAAAATGCAGAGCAGAGTATACCGGTACACGTGCAGTACAGTAGCTGCAGACAAAGCGATGCGCAGGATACCGGCAGACGTGCTGAACTAACGCGCTGAATCACCAAGTGACCGCGCCTCGCCTAGGAAAAGGCGCAGTAGCGCCACGAGAAACCCTAGCGGCGGTCCGTGGTATTTCCGACCGCCAAGAGAGGCGGCGTGGCCTGGCGGTCGTGCCACTAGAGTACTTCTAGTTCACTATAGCGACGCACTCGCCCGTTAGCGGTAAACGGTCGTCTGATTCTAGCCACACTACTAGCGCCTTCTTGTACCCAAAAATTCTCTGGACTTCTTGTGACAAAATCTAGGTACTTTGGTGGCACCCATGAAGTTTCACATGGTTGGCACTAGCGTATATTTGATATAATGCCTAGAATTATGAGGCTATAGTGCCTAGTATTCTAGGCTGAACAGACCTCAGGCATTGACGCTCAGACTCCTGCAGGTCGGGGCATATTCCAGTCCCGCACTCTTGCACAAATTTACCTAAAAATTCAGACGTCGAACACATGCGCGTTTTGCTCAGACTTAGCCAGCTTAAATCATAAGCTTTGACGGTGCCCTGCGTTACGGGTTGGAAACGTTAAATCGTCAAAGTTGGATGCACGCAGCGCTACGCGCAGCCTAATTGGTGGGTGATCTGTGACGCAGCTATACATGGGCAGTCCAACGGACCCACGACGTGGCGGACAGGTTAGGCCTATCCGTCCCGACGTGGTAGCGGCCCGCTACGTACTAGTTCACGTCCCGACGGACCTAAATAAGTTTTTCCATACCTTACCATAGGTACTATAACTAGAGCGTTACTTTTAAGCGGCGCGGCTCACGGCGTCACCTAAAGTTTTCCGGCAAGTTGAGAGGAGCGGCTTTTACGCGTTGCTGTCTTGCCCGTAAGAAAAGTCAAGGTATGGCATGTGTGCAACTTTTCTGTGTGTTGTGAAATAAATTACGCAATTGATCCAGATTGACGGAGGGTAGGTGATGTTTTAAGCAGCTATCTCATGGATGAATGCTCTTCCACACAAGCACCTAAGTGACAGAGTGTAAGCACCTACGCTTTTTATTTTTTTAGCCTGAATTGACACGATATGTTCTGTGCTATTTCGCCGTCACTGCAGCGATAATAGCTACTTCACTCTCGCCTTTCGAACCCCACTGTGGTAATGGAAAGAACGCTTCATTTTTCAAACTTATTTTCGCACATGTGATGGTATAATTGAAACTAAGTAAATTTTTTTCCCGTGGGTCATTCATGGATGGAATCACAATTGGCTTTTTGATAAATGTATCCGCATCGTAACCTTATTAATTACACGCGTAGATCATACAAAGTTACCGGTTGGACTCGTAGGCGAATGTGGTATACTAACGAACCTGATGAAAAAAAAATATCCATGCATGGTTTTAATGAGCACATAACAAGTAATATACATCACGTGAGTACACATATCTTTATTACACCGTAGAATTAAATTGCACCAGTTCTTGAGCAGCGTGAATAAAACGTATAGAACGCGAAGAAAAACTGTACATCATCACGAGCTGACAAATTGATTTATTTGCACAGTAACCGCGTTTATATATGCGCAAATGCTTGCTATACCGCAATACAGATTAAAAATGCAGAAAGTGTCACTCGTGGTCTAAGTGACATGAACAAATAGATGCAACAAACGTGAATAAAGATGTGATAATCGACAAAAAAATGAAAAAAAAAGACACGTGAGAAAGATTGAGTATAATTCAAAATCTTATCACTATAGCCATCCAAAGGCGGAAAACAAAAATGTCGTTACTATGCAACTGCGATGAAAAACGATCAACGCATGCGCAATGCAAGAATATACACATATATAGTTAAAAGCCAGCGTCAAATAAAAAAAAAAAGATAATTAAAACATAAAAAGTAGGGCGAAACAATACAACAACCCACACAAAACTACCCAGGAAAGCAAACTTTCCGTCATTTCATATAGGTGACTGGTTAGCGCAGTTATCATCAGCCAAAAGTTGAATTGTAAACAAGAACTATCTCGCAAATGTAATGCCGATCAATTTCTCTAGCTTCACCAAAGCACGATTATGGCTTTGCGGTCACTACCCTCGTGTTTTCTTGCTCTTTTTATTGTACTTGACACTGCGGAGCCACAGAGTAACAGTTGGGAGCCGCGCAAAAAGCCAATATGAAATGCAAGATGGTCGTATATAGTTGCATCCAGGTGCGCGTTAAGGAACCATAGATTGTCTCACAGTGTGCATTCCTTGTTTCTACGTGACCACCTTTGTTGTTCCACCTTCGCAAACTGCGGACTACTTCGTCCTTGCAAATATCCCACTATGTTCCATAACCGATCCACCACTTCGTTGACCCTATGGTTGACCATAAAGCCATTATAATGAAGGGGGAACCGAAGCGACGTATAGCTACCACTTACGAATTGTAGAGTTTCTTGTTTAAATATATACAGTGTTTGTATAAATAACAGCCCGGCGCTTCGCCCCGATCATCATCATTCACTACGTGGATGTGCTGTGATATTTAGCCGTGTTATCCGCCGATGATGCACGAGCAATATCTTTCATATCAAACGAAGAGTTCGTGTAGCGGACTCTTACATGTGCAATGGTTCAACCACCTCGGTTGGGTCAAAGTTCGGCAGAATAGGTAGCTCACCAAATGAACCAAACGTGCGAGTGGGATTTATTAGAGGGGACTCAAACTCACCTCGACTAGCGGGCCAAAGTGACGAAACTTAGACTCGCCCAGGTTGGAGCAGACGCGGGGTTCTTTAGCAAAATTTTGTCTAACGTTGCCATTTATTCGAAAGAAAGCCTTTGCCATATATCTCATATATAGTTAATCTATGAGGAGGACGTTAGAATATGAGATAAGTGTGTATATCGACGCTGATTTGCCGAACGAGTGAAATTCTGGACACTGATTTCTAGGTGCATGGATCATAAGACCCGAAATTATCGAGGCATGCCCCGTCGCAAAACGAAAACTGCATTAGCCAAGCATCGATTGTGAAGCGTGCTTTTTGGAAGACATGCTATATCTGATCGTCATTGTAGCACGTGGTAGGCTACCATGTTGTATAATAACTATGTTTTTTCTGCGAAATAAACTATGGTTGCTAGTGCAACGGTGTCTCTTTCGTTCCTTTTGTGCTTGCCTCCGTGTGCTGCTGCATAATTATAAACATGAACTATGACCAACTCGCCAAACTTTAAACGCTACTTTACTGTATAAGACTCATTTAGAAGCATGTAAATGTAGTGTTACAGTAACACTATAGGCAACCCTTCTGTGACTCCGCACTTACTTCGTAAGAACGGCAGGTGCCACGCCATGGCCCGCAGCGGCGCCTCGTGGCGCTGAACCATGACCCCGCCCAGAGACAGAAATTCACGTCCTTTCCCTAATCTAGATAGCACCACCACCACATCCCTTCCTGCTGCAGATGCGGCGATTCTGAGACACTCGAGCACTCCCTCTTCACTGCAGTGGCCTAGGGGCACAAGTCAGTGACACTTTACTTTTTTTAGGGGGGGGGCAGGAAAGGGGGCACACACGTGTGACCTCTGTTTTTTATGATAAACGCAAGCCTAATCAATACATCGGCAAAACAAATCGCTTTCAACCTGTGCCTTCCAGTTGGTGCACTCTAGAACACTTTGCCGAGCAGCAGGTCTTTGCCAAGCTGCAAGCCGCAAGTTTTTAGTCCGAAAATCCATTCCAAGTGTATTTGGAAAAATAAAGCATTTGAATTTTTTCGTTCGCGTTTTGTAGCGCTGCCCTGCAAAGATATTGCAGGGCGCCTCGCTAAGGCTGCATTGTACTCGGTTGGGAGCATAAATAGAGCCGTCTTGCACATCCTTGCGCACACGAGTGGGTGCGCAGCTAGCGTATAACTCTTGATAACAATCCGTATAGCTACATCATCACTGAGCATGACACCACGCAGTCACACTTTCCCTCGCATGTCACATAAGCGATAAGCGGGTGTGCAATGGTCTTGCACTAGTATTTCGATATAGAAGACCGGTCTGTCACCGCGTGCGTAAATATCGAGACCACACAACACTCGTCCCCACTTCGGCATCTCGAGCGTACGCTGACACGCTTGCCCGTCTCGTCTGTTCCTAAGTGTACCAGGACCAGTTGCACGCGTGCCATGTCTAACTTGCTTGGATTGTGCTGCTGCAAGTCGGGCGATGACGGCCACGAAACACTGTGCTGCGGGCTGCCTTCCTGCCTGGCTGGCGAGCCACAAGCGGAGGAACAGCAACGCGAAGAGGAACAGCAGCAGGAGCTGCCGCAGCCAGACTCCGGTACGCGCCCACCGAGACGCCGGTATGCGGCGAGGCTCATCCCACCTTCTCTTTTTCTCACCACATCCAGGTGCAGCCACACAGGAGCCTACGCCGGCTCGAAAGCCGTCGGACCAGTCGGAAGACAAGGGCAACTGGGCCGACGACGAGGAATCTTCGTCGTACACGTCCTCCAGCAAGGCCTCGGTGGTCCGCAAGGACACCACCATCTCCAAGGTGGTGCAGCCACCCGCGGGCGACTCCCGGCAGCCTGGACCCAGCGGCAGGCAGCCGTTCAGCCGCGTGATGCACGACGTACCGTCCGACTACACCACCACCGACGACTCTTGAAACGGTGAGGTCTTTCGCTCTGTTCATTTACTAATCTGCTTCAGTCGATGAAAGCTGCATTTCACGCCATCTAAAGAAGAGCCTAAAGAGGCTCTAAAGATAATTAACTTTTTCTTCGCTTGTGAAGTACCCAGAAACAATATCTTACAACCAAAGTGATACATCTACCCATAAAATTACAGGCGTTGTCTTCACGATCACTCATCTGCATATTTTTTTTTTCACGGATACAGTTTGGTTTTGTGACGCCAACTGCTATTTCGCCGCAGCCTTGCTGTCTTACTTGAGCTTTGTGCGCAGGGGCGGCGGAAGTATTTTTTTTTCTGCGTAAGGGGGGAGGGAACAGCAAAAACTGTGTTTAGAAGAACCGAGTGTTGGGCGAGTTGGTATTTTACTGTGGGTGGCGTTTTGCGTGAAAGAACGGACAAGAAAAAAAATGGCCCGTATCTGCAATCTGCAAATGTCGTCAAAAGACGATAGTCTTGAGTCTGGAAAGAGTGAACAAAATTTCATGTTCCGCGCAAGAAAATCGGTGAATGGTATTCGGGAGGGGCTGCGTTAGAGTGCCTCGAGCGTGCAGCGGAGGCGAACGAGCTCAAGTCGCGTCTCACGTGAGATATGAGCGCTATCTTGGAAAACGAAGCGCGCGGCTCTGATACCTCAGAGGTGATAAGGTGCAGAACACAAGGTGATATGAAGATGCCACCACCGTGTCGTCTTAGCAAAGCGTTGGAAACACTTGTCTTTTCTTGCAAGCGTTGCATGGTCAGCACAGCGTGATAAACGTTACGGTCCTTAGGATTGCTTATGTATGCCTTTTTTTAGTGAAAGATGCACACACAGATTATATACATGTTGTTATGGTGCCTCATATATGCGCAATAATTGCTTTTCAATTGAAAATCACCCAAGTATGAACGCTGAATCTCGAGCAACATTGGTGGGTGCTGCGGATGGGGTCGGTCGTTTGGGGTATTGACTGGTGCCGTTTAGAGTAGCGGGTATCGTTAAGGGAGGACAAACAAGTGGACAGACATACCAATATTTTTGCGTTTAAGGTTGCCTAGAAGGAATATATCGTCTTTAAAAGAGAGCACACATACACACAAACAGCGCGCTTGTCTGCTTTCTTCTTTCTTGTCCATTCTTTTGCGCAAAACGCCACCGACAACTGTGTTCCTTCAGGAGGGCATAGGAGGTGCAGAACGTGTACGTTGTGTTTTGACTATGCTTGCTCTTGGTTGGGTAAAGACACGCGGGAAGGTCAGGCGACAGTTTTTTCGGGAAAAGGGGAGGGAAGGCTACATTCCACCCGTGCCCCCCCTATCTGAGCCAGTCCCGGTCATCGTGCTCTCAAGTGTATGCACTCAATAACACCTGGGGTTTAGCGTCCCCGAAACGCGACTTTATTACGCCAAACGACGTAGTGGAGGGCTCCTGAAATTAGGACCATTTGGTGGTTCTTTGCCAGCCTCTCGAAACGACACCCTATGTGCCTGGCACAGCGGTTTCGATGCCACTTTTAACCGCATGCTCGCCAGCTGAAGGAATGACCAAATTATATCCCTGGATAGCAGAATTATTTCCACGCTTGCGGACTTGCTCCACATCGTCAAAATAATGCTGCAAGTGCAGCAGGACACAAAACTGCTACAAGACTTGACCGGCAAAGGTCACCTGAGCGCGTCATGAGCACTGCCGTGAATAGGCGTAGACTGCTGTCATCTCTGCGATTAGCGCAAAACGTATTGCGTATATCCTTGCATTAAAAAAGTCTATCATTCTTTTTGTTCTTTATTGGGATGTTCGTGTCTGATCATACGATCCTCCGTTTTGGACATTGTTCGCCCGTTTCACACTCCCTCAGCTGTATTTAGCGAACATTGTGATACCATCCACTTTTTTTTTAAACAGATAGGCATTCGAATTGCGCCGTTCGATTATTTCCTTATTGCCTGCACATGCCTTTACGTACTTTTTTTGTTGCTAGTCTCCATAGGCGTTCCTGCCCAACCTGAAGGTGGACAGCTTCCTGCCCAGAGGACCTAGCCTCATCTATAGATGCTCAGTTTTGTACTGTCGGCTCTCTTTCACCGTTTTAACATTTGCTGCAGTTTTAGCATATTATCAAAATAAAGCATTACTTTACCTTTGCGGAAATCCCTTGTTGTACGTTCATTCTTAATTATTGCTGCCACGTTAGAGCTTTTCCGCCCTTACAGGTCACTACGTCGAACAATTCGGCTCATTATGCATATTGACACGCCCGTTACTTCCTTCAATTTTGCTGTACTTCGTTTACGCTCGCATTGTCTGCTGCATTCGTCATCACCACGACCGCATGACAATATTTGAAACTAGCCTGGCTGCTTCAGTGCAAATGTCTCTCGTGGGGCGGACACACACACCGTAAACGAACGTTTACGTTAGCAATTAGATCGCCCTACTTGGCTTAGCCAGAGCTTTGTCCACAAGGCTTCGTGGCCCAAAACATTAAATGGCGATTGCATAAACAGAGGCACGTGCACGGACCGATTCATCCCCCCTCCTCGATCGGTAGGGACTATAAAGGACTCCGAACAGCGTAATTCTTGCTTGTAACTTTTAGGAGCAAAGCTCCTCATAGTCACATTGTCTCTCGTCAGGCGTAACCGGCAGTATCTCCCGAACAGTATAATAAATGACGATGTCTCATAAAAGTACATACAACTCCAGTTGAGTGAGCATATTCTAGATGGCACTGTACTGATACTTTCCGATTGGCTCCTGCACGGGCTGTGCCTGGGTGCACGGAGAACTACTGCCTTTCCGTCTCCTGGATCGTCGCCGTACGTCTCGGATTGTTGGTGGGGCATTAGCGGAGCGGAGGGCTGCGGCGGCTCGTGCTCGTCGTCAGACAGACGGACGCTTCGCCCCACGAGCGCCTCCTCTATTTCTTTCAGTGACCCGTCAAACGCTATCCTGTGGACTAATAAGGCAGAGCAGAGGCAGCGACAGAATCCGAGCAACACGGATACAGAACGTGAAAGGATAGCCGTGATTCCATACAAACACCAGATATCACACAGGCTCAAGAAAATCAGAAAAACGTGTTGAAGCTCGTGTCCTGTTCTCGACACCGTTCAAATTAACCAGCCTCACCAAATCTACAAACGCCCTGAAAACGCAGTCATCAACGGAATTCAGAGTTCAACATAGAAACAGGTATGCGGCCTGCTCCCGGGAAGTTGTCTATAGGACCCCCCTTTCACGCGGTGCTTGTTATGTCAGAACGACCAGAAGGTGCCTGAACGATCGGCTGAGAGAACACGCTAACAATGTTAGAAACGGGGAAAGATGGTTTTCTTGCTCCGCGCTGCACTGAGTGCAATTGTGCGCCCCTTTTCAAGGACACAGCGACGCTGTACAAGCACAGAGATGAGCGCGCCCGAGTCATTGTCGAGGCCGCGCAGATGGCACGCGAACAGGTGCTTTGTATTAGCAAGCCCTTCGTGGCTCTGTCTGAGAAGAAACTCAGGTTCCTCGAAGATTTCGGTGCGCGCAAGTAGTTATATTATCTTTACTTTTCTGTTTCGTTTTCTTATAATTTTTTGCCGTTTTTTGTGCTTTTGTTTTTTGTCTTTGTTTTTCTCTTACTCATGTCCTGCCCTTTGTGCCATATGGTTTTTATCACATGGTTACTGTCTCCTCTATATATTTTCGTGCTCTGCGCAATAAACTCAGTGGCGCTCGTGTCTTTCGTGTCCTTCTTGTCTCTGTGTCGTCGTTTTGTTCTCGCGCTATAACTACCGTCATGCCATACCAACTAGCCCAAGCTGCCACACACTCTATTCGGGCCGCCGCTGAGTGCGCGCTTCGTCTCCGCTCGCCGCTTTCGTATGGTGGCGCTGCGCAAGTACACTACGGGATGCTGGCGCTGGACAGCCGCACGTATTAGGAAGCTCGCGAATTCGTGTTGTCGTGTGACTTAATTTGCATTCGTGCTTCTTGCCGGCTTTCATGAGTACAGAGGGAATGAAAAGTAACACGAGCATAGCGGCGCGATGTTTTCACCGGGCTCTGTCGGACCGTGCTACCGGTTCGATATATGCGTTCGAGTTTTATAGCATTCGCGTTTTATTTTCTCTTTCAAGCTATTGCAACCTCATCATTTGCATGCCTCAGTACATAATACTGCTGTGTACCACTTTGCATATCTGACGAAAAAAAATATGGTTTGCTTTTTTCACTTCTCATTAGTTACAAAAAAAAAAAAAACTGACCGATCCTCTTATGGATTCACCAGGGACGTCTGGAAGGCAAGAATGATCCTAATTTCCTTCCGATTCAATCCACTGAATGTTTCTTACTCCCCCCCCCCCCTCTCGGGATGTTTCTGCTCCCAACATGATTTTCTTACTGCTTCAAGGATTGGAGACAAAGCTAGCTTTCAGCCCCTCAGCTGGTTATGCGCTGCCCTCATGACTGGCCCATTTCAACCAAGCGAAGATGTTATGTAATGCCTGCAAGTTATGTGACCTTCCGATACGTCGCAAATATTTATATGTGACGTCATAAGATGACGTATTTCTCGTAATGATTTCTTGCATCACTCGTCTTCACGCCGCTGACGCGAAAAAGATGCCGGACGCCACCGGCGATTAATTTCTGCTTTTGATGAGGCATTTAAAACTGCCACCTTAATGCACTGTACGGCTGTAGCTCCATGAAGTTGCAGCTTCCGCTGGTATTTGGGGGAGCGTGCTTACAGTGATCAGACAGAGCAATCGGTCTTCCAATAAATCTTCGTACTACAGTATAATATGTAGCCGTCATTTACAACCCGACTATTTTATAGGTTATAAGTAGTGGTGGCTGAAGACTATCCTTCACGTTTGGCAACATGGCAACTGGAATCACTAAACGGGAGTACGCTGCGAACGAACAGTCAACAAATGAGTCTATCAGTGGAAACGCTGCCTCGCGATCACTGCCGTGTGCAACGCTAACACTACGCCCAGAAGCTGAATGGGAGCCCATGGGCACCACACAACCATACGGCCTCTGCTCTGCTCAAATACCGAATTAAGAGGCCAGAGAGAAGAAGAAACAGAGCTGAGCAGCCGGATAAAAAGGTTGCAACAATCCGTCCATGAACACACAGACAAGCTCAAACAACTGAACACAGGCCGCAATTTTAAACCTGTCACCTTGGCTCAAGTTGAGAGTCGGCATTAGGCTTCAGACTTTAACAGCGCCTGTTCAAAAAAACAGGTCAAGATGACAGAAATCGGGCCGCATATACGAAGGTGTTCTCGTTAATTTCACGACGATTTCATCTTTTTAAGCTCTCAATTGGTGAAATCACTTGACATAGTTCCTCATTTTCTGACACTTCCTTTTTCTCGGTGGCAACACATGTAATACTTTGCGAGGGGAATGGATGATGACCTGTGTCTCTGGCAGCCGTCTAGAGGCATTTTGTGCTGCATGAACTCCAGGCTCGCGCATGATTTGCTAAGCCATGGGATAATAGCAAGCATTGAGGAACATAAGGCACCAAAGCTTTTAATTATAGATCCTGACAAAGGCTCCTCTCAAAAATTGACTTTCAGTAAGTCAAAAAATCCACTCTCAGTCAAGCGAACGCCACGGTAACAAAAAAATCTTCCACATATTACTGGCATGAGCTGTCTGGACATCGGCCTAGTAGAGGACGCGCGAACGCCTCGATCAAGCAGTCGGGAACGACACATACCTTTGAAATGAGCTGGGTGTTCACAACAACAAGTGGTTCACGATTCGCGTTTCCAAGTTTATATTACACCTTAAAAATGCGAATAAAACCAAAAACAGAGCCGTATAGCAGCTTTGAATGCAGCCGCGGCATTCGCTTGCGCGAAAGACGGCGTGGTGGCATGTCTACTCCGGTTGCGGCGCCAGGCGGCGAAACGCCGCACTAGCACCAACGACCACTTCTAATTGAAATCCGCTCCTTCGCGCGAGCGCGCCGCCTGGGCACTAAAAAAAAAAATAAAATATAGAGGAGGCGCTGGCCCCACTCATCATCATTAACTTCGTAGATATGGTGTGACTTTTACAATTTGCAGACTTCTATCTGGTGATGCTAAAATTCAATCGTAAATGCTCAAACGTGTCGCACAAGTAAGGATCAATCAAGCATCACTTTGAAACACACCCGCCCTAAAACAGTGAGGAACTACGAAGCGCTGAAGCTTTGGTGACGTTGAACGCACAATTTTCAAATCGGTGGGTACCTTGATAGGAAGTAATCTCTTAATAGAACGGCGATGCAAATATGGCGTCTTGCAGGTCCAAATCACAACATGATTATTCAGTGATAGTTTTGCTGTATCTAAGCAGAAACATGTTCTTGCTATCCGCCACCGTCGGCTGCGGAGAACGGGAAGGAAACCCATTCAGCGTGACTCAAACCCGATTTCAGTTTTCGTACGACCAAATCATTTTTTGTTGTTGTTTTACCAGGAACATTATCGATGGTGTTGTCGTCATTGTTCTATAACTTGAGGCAAGCAAAAGGGAATGCGAACACCGGAATAGCGTAGTAAGCTAGTGCATGTAATGTAGGCGCGCAACAGTGGGCGTCAAAGAGTCATTGCGCTGACGTCACCCTGGCCTCCCAACAAGCGGCGCCACTCCAACTTCTTGGGGTCAATACCTCCGGCCGGAGAGAGAGCAACTCCATGAGAGGTTAGACTATAAGACATAGATGTTCCACAGTCAGAAAGACCATGGCGAGCTGGACGGCGAAGGCCACCGACAACCACAGCCGGCTGTGGTGAAGTGTGGGGTTAGAATCACGAGGGGATTGTAGGGCGGCCGGTTTTAGCAAGACACGTTCTACATTTGCTTACATACATGGGCCATTGGGACACGAAAGATGGTAGCGGAAGCACACGCCACCATAAAGAACAGCAGTTCGTCTTTGTGAAGCGTTGCACTCTGTGTGCATATAGATAGTTCCCATCTGAATTGTTCTGAAGCATTCGAATCTCCGATATTACGTTCTCATCGATTTGTGGCAGCATAGTGAAGTTCACTGACCGTTCAGTTTTGATGCTAGATGACGAAACAGCCGTATTTTCTATTGGAAAGCTCCGCCAGCGACTGCGATTCAGCCTCTCCAAGACCTCGTCATGGGTACGCCAGGCGACGATTCCGCGACGGCGCCCACTGAGACATGGTGGATGCGCCCAGTATTACCTGACCACCAAGCGCTATGAGTATTGCCTCTTCTGGCATAGTTTTTCCAAATATTTGTATTCTTGTTTAATGGGCGATGTAAACATCGATATGCTCTCTCAGGATGCAACTTCACGGCAGTTAATAGCGCTGGCAAATTCTTTTGCCTGTAATAACGTAATTTCTAAGGCAACCCGCCTAACTGCAGAGACTGCGACACTTCTTGATATATGTTTGACGAACACACTCCCAACGTCTTGCGTTGCTGGATCGCTGGCAGTAGATATAAGCGATCATCTACCGATCTTTTGCACCATTCCTTCTTCCAATGGTACTTGCAAAAGCAATAAAAAAGTACGGTCTCGTCAGATCAACGCTGACACGCTTGGAATCTTCCGGTATCGTGTTATTGCAACAGATTGGAACCACGTGTTACAAGAAAGGGATGCTAACTTGGCATACAAGCTATTCATTAATAAACTCATGAAATGTTATGATGAAGCTTTCCCGGTGTCTGTGAAGAACGCAAAACGCCAGAAAATTAGAAAACCTTGGATAAGTAATGCGCTATTTAAAAAAATTACAAAGAAGAACAACATGTACCATGCGTTTATAAAGACACGAGATATCAAATTACTCAGCGAGTTCAAAAAATACAGAAACCATCTAAATGGTGAAATAAGGCGTGCTAAATTCAGGTATTATGAGAATTTATTTAGTAGAATAAGTGATAATCCTAGCAAAATTTGGAGCGAGGTTAGAAATCTTTCTGGTCAAATAAAACAAAGCCACATTCCTAGGGTTTTGGAAAACTCTAGTGGCCTTGGTAACCAAGAGGTGGCAACGGCAATGAATAATTACTTCATAAAAAGTTGCGATTTCGATGATGCGGGGTATGACGAGGATACACAACTGCCTGTAAATGACCGTCGGTTATCTAACTCTATAGTTCTGCACACTATCTCATGTCATGAAACCGAAGAATTAATAACAAAGATAAAAAACCATTGTGCAGCAGGTTACGATGATATTAAAGCTGTACCAATAAAATACGTCGCTGATGTTATATCACCTGCGTTGTCACATATTATTAATTTAACTCTTGTTACCGGCGTATTTCCCGATGAATTAAAAATAGCTCGCGTATGTCCGGTTTTCAAGGGTGGTAATGACCAAGAGATTGGAAACTACCGACCGATATCGGTACTTCCGATTCTGTCAAAAGTTTTTGAAAGCGCTATTAATATTAGATTACAAAAATTTTTTGCGAAGTACAATGTAATAAGTGATGCCCAATTTGGCTTTCAAAAATGTAAATCCACCGAGCTTGCATTACTCAATATTAAAAACGAGATACTAACCAATTTTGAGAAAAAGCTATATACTCTTGGTCTTTTTGTTGACTTCCGCAAAGCATTCGACACCGTGCATCACAGTGTTCTTCTAGAAAAACTTAATAACTACGGTGTCCGTGGCGTTGCCAATAGGTTAATTCAAAATTACCTAACAGACCGCTATCAGTATGTCGCTATTAATCAAGAGACATCTCCCCGTGCGAGGGTCAACAAAGGTGTCCCACAAGGATCGATACTTGGTCCTCTGTTGTTTATAGTCTATGTAAATAACTTGTGTAGCATTCCGGATTCTCCTAAGTTAATCATGTATGCGGACGACACTAATATATTTTTTGCTGGTTCATCGATCTCTCAACTTGAAAAGTCTGTAAACACATATCTAAATAAGTTGTCTTCCTGGATTAAACTAAATAAGTTGCGGCTAAACGCGAGTAAAACTAAATATATATTGTTTGCACCCATTAATAAGCCACGGAATATAAGTCTAAGTATCTCCTTTGAGGGTCAGACTTTAGAACAAGTCAAGATACAGAAATTCTTGGGTGTGTGGTTCCAGGAAGACCTTTCCTGGAATGAACATATAAAAAAAAAGGCAGCAGATCTAAGTAGAAGCGTTGGATGTATGTACAAACTATGTCCGTTATTACCACTTTGGCTAAAGAAAGCGTTATATTATACACTGATATATTCCAGGCTAAGTTATTGTGTCTTATGTTGGGGAACAACGACGGCTCAAAACTATAAAACATTACTTACACTACAAAAGAGGGTACTAAGACTATTCGAGGGATATTACGGTATGCCACAAGGTCTTAGCGCACGTCCGTTATTCCCTAAATATCTCATATTACAAGCAAACCAAATATATTATTATAAGTTATTATTGTATATCCAAAATAATAAACTATACCCCATGTACGATTCTTCTCGATGTGCTGAGTACTATCTCCGTACACATAGTATAAGAACACCGAAAACTAGAACAACCTATGGTCAACAACATATTGATTACCAAATACCGAGTCTCCTCAACAAACTGGGTGACGTACTTGACCTAAATAAGAAAACTTCCAAAAATAAGTTCAAGGAATTTCTTCTTTATAATTGTATTGAATACACTTAATACAGAAATTTGGATTATCTATTACTTTCTGTGTCCCAATTGCTTAGAGTACACTATTTGTGTCCTTTTGTTGTTGTTTTTTAGGAATGTATGTGTCTCCTGATGCTTTCCTTACCTCACCTATTGTATATATTGCGATGTTTTTTAGGTATTTCATTACTATTTACTGTCCTGTTCTTTCTTTATATTTGTAATGGTTACATGTGTGATCATAATTTGCAAATTGTATCTGTATATAATGATGTTCTCTAAGTCGGCTAAGTTGTGTATGACATGTTAATTTTAGTTTTTTTATTTTATTTTGCCAGACTGTATTTCGGAGCAAAAGCCTCCGTCAGGCTATGTAGCCTTTTGCTTTTGCTTCGTTTTTTTTTCTGTTGCACGTACAGAAAAAAAATAAATAAATCTCAAATCTCAAATCTCAGATACATGAGGTGCCTTTGTGTCAGTAAACACTGCATGGGTGTACTTCAGACTTTTCGATAAAAATGGCACGTGTTCGGGCACTCATGTGCTGCACCGTTCACTCCCCTTCCTCGTGATCAGTATGACCATAAGGGTATTCGGGAGATCCCAGGTATTTTATATGAGACTATAGTCTCTCGAATGTTAGCAAACAGACAATAACGCATCTTCACTCACAAATTTTTAAAGAACGGGGAGTGTTTAGAGCTATCCAGTTGAAAAAGTTGCAATAGCCTGTAATCACGGGAATTGAGCGGTCTAGGGGCATCTGCGTCTCCTGTTAGTCTTTCAGCACCGTGCCCGTGTCACCATTGAACAAGCAAAAGCTTAATTGCTTTAAAGATTTACAGGGCATTGTAAATCAGCAAAGGAAGATTGCGTGACGTGGAAGGTGGATGTAGGCTCCACAGGCAGCAGACGATAAGAAAAGTAATTACATGCTGTAAAAATAAGAAAATAAAAACAAAAAGAAAGCCTAGCATGAACAGGTTTTTGGAGACCCGAACTAACATGCACAATCTGCAAAATGTAATAATCACGCATGACGAAATGTAAGAAGGGACCACGTGTTTTATTCAGATAAAAATCATGCAAATCAATAAGTTCCACTCGAACATATCAATAAAGACAACGTTGCCACGGGCGAGTTGCGCTTGCGCGCGGAAGGCATGGACAGACAGTCTTACAGGGCCTGCAAAGAACAAAACAGATTAGAGCCAGAAGGATAGTGGCCTAAAAGAGGGAGACGTAGTAAGTATAGCAGTAGCGATTGCATGACAGTCTTGTGAAGTTCGGTTTGGTGAGAACACCTCGCAACAGGAAATGCACAACCCTCGCGGTTCGAAACGTCAGTGTTTACAGCGTTATGTTCACAACGTCGTTTACAAGTTGGACAGCACAGCTCGCACTGTAGTTGTAAACTTTATTTTAGACTGAACCGTGCAGCGGTGGAACGCTTTACGACAGGCGGAGTCAATACGCACACGTTTGCCGACAGTAGAACCAGCAAACTAAATATGAGCTGCAGAACCGACAATTGACAGGCAGGGAACTTCTACCCGGAGAGTTAAGTACGTGGGACCTTGAGAACTATTCGAGTGTTGCTTTGACGTTACGCACCAGCTTTTCGATTAGTCGGAAACGACTAGACCACTAAGGCCAACCGTGCCTAGCAGAAGCAGGCAGAAAATTCGATCTGCATTAGCAACTTCACGAGAAATATTTGGTTAACACGAGTGAGGACGAAGCAACGGGAATAGAACGAGGGCCTAAACAAACAAAGGTCACAAGACGAGTGCTGCCTTGTGCCCGCCTGTCTGTTCCCGTCTATCACACTGTTTCATCCTCAAAGCTAGTGTGTTCAACCGAATGAATTAAAGTAGGACTGGCGTTACACTCACCGTCGACTTGTCATGGTCGGACTCGTCATCCGGAAATTCCGGACCCTTGTCCTGACGCAGACTGTGGTGGCGGCGCTTCTTTGTCGGCGACTGCTTCTTTGCGTCGGCTCCAGCATTGTCACCGTCATCATCGGAAAAGGGTTCGAGTGTTTCCGAGGACGCCGCCGTTTCAGATATATCGGCGAGGGTGTCCGCTGATCCGGCAGAATCCCGGGTCGTGCTCTTCGGGTACGACTCCACCGACGAGCCCGTCAACGGCAGGGTCGAGGATATCGAGGAGCGCTCGCTGAAGCTATCGATAGAGCGGTCGGATGGCCTGGATTCGCTGGACGAACTGCTCTTGGGCAAGGGAGACTCTTCGGACACCGATGGATCCGTCAGCTTCAGCGAGGAGCAAGGGGAGTTTGTGCAGTGACTCGACGAGGACGGATCCATCGGAGGCAGCGACACAGACGCGGCGATGTCTGTGCTGTAGTCCACAGGACTACGAGGTTCACTACTGCTGAAGTCCATCGGTGACAGCGGTGCCTGTGAGTGCGGATCATCCGACTTGTCTGGTCTGCTCAAGTCAACCGAGGCCTTGGTCGAGCCCGCCGTCTCATGTGGAGGCCGGAAACAGTCGTCCGGACTTATCAAAGATGAACAAGTCAACTCCGAAAGGGTTCCAGTGCCACTAAAGCATTCCAGCTGGTCCTCCAGAACAACGCCGAGGCCAGTTTCCGACGAAGACGTGCTGGGATCGGTTGCCTGCGAAGTCGGATCGCGGGGCAGTGACTCTGCGAATGTGTCGTCGGCGATTTCTTCAGGCATGCTCCCGGAGGACAGCGTAGCCGAAGAAGACAGGGGCGGGTGCTTGCCTGCCACCGCTTTGGTGTCGCTCGGTTGCTTGCCCGAGCTGGAATCTGGCTTGCTACCGTCGGCGGATGGCGTAGCAGGCGAAGTGTCAGTCGACGTGCTGGAGCAGGAAGATTCTTCCCTACAGCCAGCTTCCAGAAGTCTCTTCAGGCAGTCGTCGCACTTACCACATTCGCAGGAGGGCTGCATGGCCTGTGTGAAGGAAAGGCTTTCCGAAAATGATTCCTTTCTCGTGCAGGATGGTCGCTGCCTGCGTGCCGTTCACGCTGCGACGTTTAGCGTAATGCAACTAACTCGAAATGCTCGCACTAAATATAAGGCTGAATGCGTGTGGCGTCAACGAAATGACGAAGCCGTCGGTGCGTACGACATCTCACTGTTTATCGCAGTTTGTGCCGGCGAAGGTTATCACGTCATCACGTTAACGTAACACGTTATCACGCATATACGTCGAATAAACGTGTGCAGGTGCGCATAGTGAAATCGTAACTCCCAACTTCAATGTGCCGAATTTACAGGGCAATAAACCTGTGTACGTGTTCCGAAACGCATACAATGGGCAAGAAATTTCTTGTTCACAAGGGCTCGCAACAAGGTGTTGGCTCGCAACAAGGTGTTTCGAGCCAAAAGAAGCGCGAAAACAACAATTCAAACATTTTCGCATGGCGTTTCTATATAAACACCGAAGGGAAAAAAACACCACCACGTGGGACATAAGTTTGAACCGCACCTCAAGACTGTGATCTGTGCCATTCTATTAATACGCAATATTTTTGAAAAGCCAGCTCACCTACCGACTTTGCACTGTTGTCTTAGTGCAATGTAATTGTATGATGAGGAAAATCTGGCGTCCATGAGCGGAGTTACTACCCGACGGCAGCAGAGCTTCACGGGACCAACGAATGACGTCATTCATGCCATCAGTAACTCGACGTTGTGAATGTAGAGTTAAAGCCGACGGTTAGTGTCGACATTAACAATGTGTCGAGCCACGTTACGTTATAACGTCGAGTACTCGGCTGCTGACCCGCAGGTCGCGGGATCAAATCCCGGCTGCGGCGGCTGCGTTTCCGATGGAGGCGGAAACGTTGTAGGCCCGTGTGCTCAGATTTGGGCGCACGTTAAAGAACCCCAGGAGGTCAAAATTTCCGGAGCCCTCCACTACGGCGTCTCTCATAATCATAGGGTGGTTTTGGGACGTTAAACCCCACATATAAATCAATCAACGTTATGACGTCGAGTTTAAAAGTACCGAGCGCCCAAGGCTCAGTTCTTTTTAAACTCGACGTCATAACGTAACGTGATAGGGACGTCGAAATAGCATGTACGTCAGTAAACTTGTCTCTCCCATACACGTCGTGCTTTGGCACCCGAGGTAATTAACAAGATGCGCACGGGTGCTTTTTATGACCATTCCTGCACATACTCGCAACGCATGCTCTCTTTTGTGTCTTTTATCTTTTGTCATCTTTTATTCCCCTCACCCCTTTCCACAGCACAGGGAAGCCAGCCGGTCTAACTGGCTAACCTCCCTGTCCTTCCGGTTAACTTTCCTTCTCCTCCTCTTTTGTGTCCCGACAGTGCATTGTTGAGTGCGCCCACAAATGTGCGTGGTCAGTCTTGGATTTCGGGGTAAAAAAATGGGTATACACCTAAACAACCTACTTCTACCATGCGTAGTGGTTCTGAATTGTCCCCATTTTCTGTTCCGAAAAGAGAAACGGACAGCGCGACTCAGGTATTGAAGAGAGAGAGAGAGAGATAAAGATGCAAGGAAAGGCAGGGAGGTTAACCAGACGCACATCCGGTTTGCTACCCTGCACTGGGGAAGGGATAAAGGGGAGAAAAGAGGTTGCAGAGAGATAAGAAGGTACACGCAATCACGAGCACACTCGGGGAGCACACACAGTCTACAGGCGGTCGCTCAGGTTTGTTGACTTAAGGTAAAGTAGCAGTGCTTTAGTTGCTTTCTGCGCAACTGAGGCAGATGCCCAAGGTCCTAGTATCTTCTGCACACAAAATGGTCCGGGGTCAAGTTGATTCAAAACCATCCGGAGCTGGCATCGCTGTGTGTCGTAGCAAGCGCAGCTGCACAGGACGTGTTCGATGGTCTCTTCAGCTCCACAGTAGTCACATGTAGGAGTGTCTGCCATACCAATGCGAAAGGAGTACACCTTTGTAAATGCAACACCCAACCAAAGGCGGCATAACAGTGTCGCATCAGAGCGGGAAAGTTGTGATGGTAGCTTTAGCTTGAGCGAAGGATCCAGTTCATAAAATTGACACCTTTGGAAGCTGGTAGACGACCAGAACGTGCGTGTGAGATCTCGAGCCAGCAGGTAAAGTTGTCTTGCTGCATCATTCCTTGATAGAGGAATCGGGGCTACACGGGTTCCTTCATGGGCAGAGCGGGCTGCATCATCGGCTAATTGATTTCCGGTAATACCATTATATTAAGGCAGCCATTGATATATAATATCATGCCCTCGTGCTAGAGCTTCATGATGGCAATGTCTTATTTCTTGTACCAATTGGTCATGACTCCTCCTACGCATGGCACACTGCAAACTCTGAAGCGCTGCCTTCGAATCACAAAATATGACCCATTTTTCTGGACGTTCTTGAACGAGATATTGAAAATGTTGGAAACACCCAACGAGCTGGTAAAAAATGAACATGCACCTAAAAGCCTGGGCCAGCTCGTATATACTTGTTTGAAGGGGTGCACCGCAAAAGACAGGACACGTCTTCATCTCTTGCTTGCCATTTTACTGCTCAACTGTTCTGAAATTTGAGCAGGTAAAAGCCTGCGTGTCACATTTTTTAAGTGAAAGCCTGTCACTTTAGCCTGCTAAGCATAATATTCAGGTTAGCGTAAATGATGTCTCATGATGAGACAAGCGCAAAAAATACACACACTCAGAGAGGACACAGACAAGCGCTTACTAGCAACTGAAATTTTTATTTCGAAGCGAACACTAATAAATACATCACACGCATGAACGTCACTTCCCAACTTCCCCTGTCATCATCAAAAACGTGATAATACAAAATATGCACGCGCCCACAACCGGAAACAAACACGTACCAAAAACTAAGAAAATAAAACGTAAAAAACAAAGAAACATAAATAAAAAAACGTAACACAGAGAAAAACACTGGGTTATGCGACATCCAAAAAAGCAAATTCCGCATCTGTTAGTAGAACTGACGTTTGGCTGACGCAACTGTCCCCTGCTTTTCTTATTTTATATGCCTCCATTATTTCTCTTGTCGTCCGCTTGTTGTGCCTGTCAATTATTCGTGTGTCGTAAAATTTCGGTTGGTATGTGCATTCCTTGCAGTGCATCGCTAAGTGTGAGTAAGGGGCCCCCTTTAGTGAACTCTCATAATAGAGCGGTTGACTGGGCTAGTTGGTATGGCATACTTGGGTTTTAGCAGCGCGAAAAATGCACAAAAGACAAGAAAGGGACGAGACAAGCACTGACTTCCAACTAAAATTTTATTGACGGGAAGACCGTTAATATGCAATGGAGCACAAAGAGTGAAAAAAAAAAAAAAAAAAACAATTCTTCTCACAGGCCAAAGCGGCTCCCCTCAAGCCGCTTTGGCCTGTGAGAAGAATTGTCGGGAAGTAAAAAATGCAATCATTGGCACAAGCCAAGAGAGGAGACAAGTTGGGGGTGAAAGAGAGCGGACAGTGGCGATCCCGTATCTGCACAATATTTCACATAGATTGAAAAAAGTTGCATTAAGGTATGGCGTGCGGGTTGTTTTTTCAGCTGAAAACAAGTTATCAAAGATTTGTCCAGCAGTGGAAAGGCTAGCTAACAAGAAAGGAAGTGGGGAATCGAAAAAGTGCAGCATAAAGCATGGCAGGAGGTACGTTGAGTGCAAAAAAGATGTATACGGAACTCCTTTCACATGTGGAAAGGAATACGTTGGTCAGACGTGTCGGTGCATAAATGTGCGCCTTCGTGAACATGAGAGTTCACTAAAGGGGGCCCCTTACTCACACTTAGCGATGCACTGCAAGGAATGCACATGCCAACCGAAATTTTACGACACACGAATAATTGACAGGCACAACAAGCGGACAACAAGAGAAATAATGGAGGCGTATAGAATAAGGAAAGGAGGGGACAGTTGCGTCAGCCAAACGTCAGTTCTACTAACAGATGCGGAATTTGCTTTTTTGGACGTCGCATAACCCAGTGTTTTTCTCTGTGTTACGTTTTTTTATTTATGTTTCTTTGTTTTTTACGTTTTCTTTTCTTAGTTTTTGGTACGTGTTTGTTTCCGGTTGTGGGCGCGTGCATATTTTGTATTATCACGTTTTTGATGATGACAGGGGAAGTTGGGAAGTGACGTTCATGCGTGTGATGTATTTATTAGTGTTTGCTTCGAAATAAAAATTTCTGTTGCTAGTAAGCGCTTGTCTGTGTCCTCTCTGAGTGTGTGTATTTTTTGCACTTGTCTCATCATGAACCATTACCAACACGCCCAACTGGCAGTCATCCGTAAATGATGTGCCGACTGAACATTACGCCACGTGAAACGTCATTGAGATTTGATCACGAGAAAAAAAGTATGGCAGGTTCGAAAGACGATGCCAAGCCTCAAGAGCGCAGTTGGGTTGTTTTCTCTTTCTTTCCTTCTTGATCTCCGTTCTGCATATTTTCGTGTCTTATATATTTCTAATTGTCGTTCTATCTTTTCATGTATCTTTTTCTGTCTTTCTCGACTTCTTCCTTTTTCTTCTACCTTTTTTTTGTGTCTGTGTCTATAGCTTTCTGTATTTCTCTCACTTTCAGTATATTGGTTTCTGTTTTTCCTATTTCCCTTTCGTGCCTGTTTGTTTATATTTGTCGCTCTAAGTTTTTCTGTCTTCAATTTTTTCGTGACATTATTTTTTCATTTCTCCTTTTTCTTTCTATCACTTTCTCTCTCGGGTCATTTCTCTACTTTCTACCTCCTTTCTTTTTTGTTCACGTGTTCACTGACCATTATGGCGCCCAACAGCTTGTTGAGTCATAGGAATACAAACGTACGGCAAACTATATGAAAACTGGTAGAGTAACTTACATAAAAGCCCATGTGTCAAGTAGCTGGCAGCTCGTTGCCTCCGTCACCACCTATATATGAGAACAGCTAACAGCAACCAAAAAAAAAAAAAGCCGCCCAAGCACTTCGTATATATGGTTAACGAGCGAACTAGCTGAAACGCGCGGCCCCAGGTGTTTAGCAGTAGGTTCAACCCGACGTGTCACTGAAGCCTTTCACAATTATTCGTTACA